GAGAGAGAGAGAGAGAGAGAGAGAAAAAGAGAAATAAAAAAAATGAAAATCTGATTTTATTTGTAAAATACCCTTTTTGAGTTATTTACGGTTTTGCCACCGAAAGAAATTTGATCGCTAAAACCTCGTTATAATTCCGATTCAAACCTACCGCCTGTCCACGAATTCATCTCAGAACCACCTACGCAACCAAACCACTTGTGGTCCCAAAATCCTTCCGGACAAGAAAAGGACCGAAAGACCCCACCCCGAGGGTAGTTTCGTAATTTCATAGTTTCATTGAGTTTTTTTCCATTCGCATTGGAAAGTAAACGGAGTCGGGGTGTTACACCCTAGCTTCCCGGGAGTTCCTAGGTCCAAGATACACGTCTTATACAATTGGTCCGAAACGGACGATTAGATCGCTCACGATCACACAAATGGACGGTTACTGAAATCCTCACCCTAGGTTAGCCTTTCCGGAGTATCCGGGACTCCGTTTTACAATCCGTCGAATCCTACACGATCCTAAGGGTATCCAGAGGAACATATTTCAGTTTGAAAACGATCCAACGGTCGGGACATATCGAACCCGAATAACGCCCAATATGCGATAATTGGTTCGATTGTCAAACGACCTCGGAATCGAGATCCGCGAAATCCTACACGCTCGTGACAACCTAAGGATCACACTGGAATGATTTACAGCTCCACCACACTTGCCCACGCGCCGCCACACGCGCTGGCAGCAAGCGGGTGTCCAAAGCGATTAGGCTTGGCCGGAAAATCTCAAAACCTCAGCCCAATACTCCTATCCTAGATGTAACACCCTATTTGGAGTCACTATTGTTCTTGGGCCCACCCCAAAAACTGACCGGAAGTGGCCGGAATTTCATCCCGAAATCCGGCCAAAACCTAAGTTGAAAATCACTTCCAAAACCTCAAAATCGTTTCAATCCTACACAACAGGCAGCTAGAACAGATAAAAAGAAGGAGAAACCTCACCAATTTTACCTGAAAAGGACGGCGGAGGCGGCGGCGCAACAACCGGAAAAATTCGGCTCGAACCAGTGGAAACAGCCGGCTATTTTCGAGTTTTCCGACGGGAAAAACTGATGGGTCTTGACCGGGACGTCAAGACGAAGCCAACGGGACCGATATTGGCCCCTGCCGTGACCTGAGCTGGGAGAAACGAAGAGAGAGAGAGAGGGCGTCGGGGCGGGGAGAGAGAAACCGCTCGGGGGACGAGAGAGAAGAGAGAGAGAGAGAGAGAGAGAGAGAGAGAGAAAAAGAGAAATAAAAAAAAATGAAAATCTGATTTTATTTGTAAAATACCCTTTTCGAGTTATTTACGGTTTTGCCACCGAAAGAAATTTCATCGCTAAAACCTCGTTATAATTCCGATTCAAACCTACCGCCTGTCCACGAATTCATTTCAGAACCACTAACGCAACCAAACCACTTGTGGTCCCAAAATCCTTCCGGACAAGAAATTGACCGAAAGACCCTACCCCGAGGGTAGTTTCGTAATTTCATATTTTCATTTAGTTTTTTCTATTCGCATTGGAAATTAAACAGAGTCGGGGTGTTACATTGATAAAATGAATGCTATTTCTGATAACCTTGCCCTAGCTGGCAAGGTTATGATGATGTCCATCATGGGCACAGAAGAAAGGGAATGAGGATGGCAATAGACGAGAGGAGTAGCAAGGTTATGATGAAAATGAGAGTAAGTACTATTGGAAATAATCCTCATATAATGCACTCTCTTTTGTATACCACTATATTTAGATATCAAAAATGCGAGTCATATTATATTTATATACCACATTTCTAATATAGGTAGCCCCCATTGTATTAATGGGTTCCACCTTTATTAGAGACATGATATGCCTAATATTACTCTTTAGGTACTGACACACATTTAGCGCTTATTCTAGCAATTTGATCAACTTTCTATTCATCATATTGATAGAGACACCAAAATGGTTGCTCACTCTTTAGCTAATAAGGGACAATTGCATGATAATACTTACTTGTATCTGGTTTAGGAAATTGGTTTGAACTTACGATAATTACACTAATGGAAATTGGTGTAGGCATTGTGGTAGTAGGATAGATGACTAAGCATAAATTGTGATAAAGTTCATAAAACTTCTGCTTTCTTTTTCTTACAAGCTTTTCTCTTAATTTTGCAGGAATCCCGACGTGGCTTTGACAAAGCAATACATGATTATGATCAGGTATTGTAAATTTCCATGAAAATTTTCTAAGGAAATATAGTCACACTCAAATACTTAAAGAATGAATTATACATATACATACACAGAGCTTCCATTGAGGAGCAGTTTACAAGCCATGCGGCACAATAAGAACACAAGCTGAGCTAGACGGTTTACGAGCTTCCAAGTAATATTGTGCCTTCTGCAGCGGTTGATGGCAATCGTCCCTTTGGTTTGGCTTCTTACAAAAATAAAATATAGACGCAACCATGCAGTCCAGTGCAAACTTACACATTGCAGGTAACAAGTTGATTGGTTATTTCATTATGGTGCCATATCGTAGAACTCAAAACTGTATGCATGGCTTAACTCATCTCAACTCTCAAGATAACCATAATACCAACTACTTGAGGTAAGCAGCTGCCAATAATTTGAAGGCACAAGACCTTGAAATCCTGAAACCATGTTTGAAGGCACATCTACTCTCTTTATATACCTTCCATACAGAGGACAATATATGTAACAGAACTTAACACTAAATTTAAATTGGGGGGAAAAGCTTACTAAAGTTGAATAGTTTAAAAAAATAAGGTGACAAGTTTATATTTAATCAGCCAACTGCAAGGAAATATAGTGAATAGTTGTAACAAAATCTGATTGAAAGGGTTAACTTTGGGAAGAAAAAGAAAAGAGAATGAAAGAAGACCTTCATCATCTTGTTCCATAGCATCTGCCTCATCCTCAGATGATGTCCAGCCAGTAGATCTTGGGGTGTTCTTTCTACTTGATGATGCTACATCGGTCAAAGCAGTTCGTATTGCTTCTGCATGAACTGCATCACCAACACAATCATTGAAGCTACCCCGTATAGGAGACAGAGATCCTGCCAAGATTAAAGTTGCCACACAAAATGATAAGTTTCCACATTTAAGATACATATATATATATATATATATTTTTTCTTTCAGAAAACGAGTATAGAAAACCAACAAATCAAACATTAGCATATGAAAAGAAACAATCATTGAAACTCAAGACCACTTTATATTATACGAATCACCAGTGACACTTTGTTTTTAAGGAAAAGAAGATAAACACATTAACGTTCATACATATACAACTGACAGGCCTCCATAGAACGGAAAATATGATAGAAACCAGCATACCATCCTCATCATCGGTCATCATAGGGTGGTATGGCGTCTTCGGCTCAGTAATTTTCTGCCTTACAGGTTTATTTGCTTCGATTTCTCCCAGATTAGCCTCATCCCATCTAACTCGGCCCCTGCCACTCAATCAGCAAAATCTAAAATCAGTATATCTATCAACTTCAAACATATGCTAAGAAACAAAAAGTATACAAGATTTTACAAATCAGAAAAACCATCCAACTCCTAAATGCAATGCCTTAATAAACATTTCATTCTTAATATCCATTGTTAAGACAAGAAGAATTTAACATTAAGAAGACAGATTGAATTACTTCATTTTGCAAAACAGCTGATCTCCGCAAAAGCAGCACAAGCAACTGCTCAATTGAATTGAATTCTCTGAAACAAATTGAAAAACTTATTAAATTCTCAACATTAAGCAGAATAAACCCAAAACAATTGCATTCTAGGTCCTCAAGCTCAACCCCTTATTAACGACAATGAATTATATTTACACAATAACCTAAGAACCTAAGAAAGAAAGGAAATTTCAATTCCATTTCTCCGAAATATATCCAAAGCTCAAAGATGGGCCATAATATACTAATCAAAGACGCAGAATAAGAAAACAATCCAGTAGAGCCACAGATCAATAACGCATTAAAACCCTAACGAACCTAATCTTCAAAAACGCAGAAGGTGCCCAAGAAAATATACGGATCACCTTGCTTATGCCTCGTTTGGTTGCTGAGAATATTCGAGAAAGAGAAGAAAATGAACCTCTGGAACCATAGAAATGATCAATTAAACAGCGAGTTTGTTTACGGATCGAAACTTTCAATTTCTTTCATTTTCCTGTCGTTTCCGGGATTTCATGGCCAATTTTGAGCGTAAAAAATGAAATTTATAAGTAGAGAAAACAAGAAACAGAAAATTGGATTTGGTACCTCACTTCCTCTGGGAGAAAATAGGCGTGCCAATCAATCGAAGTGCTGAATCCAATTTTTCTTTTTTCCTTCTTATGTTGTCCTGTTTTACTAAATTACCCTACTGAATAAGATGTAATAGCAATTGAAGCCACCGAAGGATGTTCCCCGCAGTGTGAAGATCTTGGACCGTAAATCCAAATTACACCCCTATGATCTAAACACGTCAGCAGCAGAGGTGCGGCGAGAAGGATTTTCAAAGAGTATAGCCGGCTATACTCCTGAGTAAATTCTATTAATTAAATAGTATAGCCGCGCGACTATACTTTTCAAATATGATACATTCGAATAATTAAACGGTATAGCCGGCCGGCAAGACGCCTGACATATAATAAATTCCATTATTTAAATAGTACAGCCGGTCGGCTATACATATCAAACATGATTAAAATAATACAGCCGCGCGGCTATACTATAAATTCGAATATTTAAATATTATCGCCGCGCGGCTATACTTCTCAACTATGATTAAAATCTCGGCTATACTATAAATTCGAATATTTAAATATTATAGCCGTGCGGCTATACCGGTTGCTATTAATTAAATAGTATAGCCGCACGGCTATACCATTTAAATATAATAAAGTCGAACATTCAAATTGTATAGCCGAGCGGCTGGCTATACGCCTAACATATAATAAATTCCATTATTTAAATTGTATAGCCGCACGGCTATACTTATATTCTTTTCAAATATGTTCGGCTATTCTATGGATTCGAATATTTAAATAGTATAGCCGCTCGGCTAGACCTGTTGAATTATATTTACACAATATCCTAGGAACCTAAGAAAAAAAGAAAAAAAAAGAAAGGAAATTTCAATTCCATTTCTCCGAAATATATCCAAAGCTCAAAGATGGGCCATAATATACTAATCAAAGACGCAGAATAAGAAAACAATCCAGTAGAGCCACAGATCAATAACGCATTAAAACCCTAACGAACCTAATCTTCAAAAACGCAGAAGGTGCCCAAGAAAATATACGGATCACCTTGCTTATGCCTCGTTTGGTTGCTGAGAATATTCGAGAAAGAGAAGAAAATGAACCTCTGGAACCATAGAAATGATCAATTAAACAAAGAGTTTGTTTACGGATCGGAACTTCCAATTTCTTTCACTTTCCTGCCGTTTCCGGGATTTCAATCGAAGTGCTGAATCCAATTTTTATTTTTTCGTTCTTATGTTGTCGTGTTTTACTAAATTACCCTACTGAATAAGATGTAATTGCAATTGAAGCCACCGAAAGATGTTTCTTGCAGTGTGAAGATCTTGGACCGTAAATCCAAATTACACCCCCTACGATCTAAACACGTCAGCACCAGAGGTACGGCGAGAAGGATTTTCAAAGAGTACAGCCGGCTATACTCCTGAATAAATTCTATTAATTAAATCGTATAGCCGCACGGCTATACCATTTAAATATAATAAAGTCGAACATTCAAATTGTATAGCCGAACGGCTATACCCTTTAAATATAATAAATTCGATCATTTAAAATAATACAAATTTATAAATAAACCCAATCCTAGACATGTATTTATAAAAAAACCCAAGCACTATTTAAACATAGAAACACACCCAAAATCAACCCCAAAGTCAACTTTTTGGGTGTGTTTATAAAGTGTTTTGGGTGTTGGGTTTTTTTATAATTTCAACCTTCATTTTGGGTGTTTTAGTGAAACTCCCTTAAAATAAATGCGAATATTTAGAAGGTATAGCCGCCCGGCTAGACGCCTAACATATAATAAATTCCATTATTTAAATTGTATAGCCGCACGGCTATACGCTTTAATTTCGAATAACAGTATATACTTTTCAAATATGTTCGGCTATTCTATAAATTCGAATATTTAAATAGTATAGCCGCTCGGCTAGACCTGTTGAATATGATAAATTCGAGCATTTAAAAAGTATAGCCGTACGGTTATATTAATCTTAAAATTTTGTCAAGTTAACTTTACGGAAAAACAAAGGAAAAAGAAATTGCACCATGTAGGTCCCAGCCGACAGACCCGAAAACTTGGCCAAGGGTAATTTGGGCGAGGGAATGACAAATTTGTCAATTACAAATAACAAATTACTATGGAAAAAAATTTGGGAAGGGAAAAATAGAAAGAGAGTTTTGTAGCTTAAGACGAAGCTGTTCTTGGGGGCCGAATAGCTACACGGAGTAGCAGGAGTTCTTGATAACAATGAAGACATCGCCAGCATCCTACAAGAGTAAGAATTTGAGTTTTTGCAATCACACATATATATATATATATATATGTATGTATGTATATCAATATACTATGGATCCAACTTTGTTTTTCTCCGTCAATATCTGATTATCATGCGTGAAAATTCTTTGTTGATCTGGGTCTCTTACGGTTTCTTTGTTCTGTCTGAATTTTAGTGCTGAAAGGAAAATGGGTTACTAATCAAATCCAAAGCTCCGAAATAAATCCAAAGCTAAAAAATGAAAAGGGTGGTTTTATGATTATAATTACTTCAAAAAGAGTTGGGATTTTACAATTGACGAAAGGTTGAAGACTTAGAACCTCAATTGGTAAGGGCAATCAGAAGTTGAGCCAAATGTACTGAGTGTATGCGAATTCTGTTGAGATTGCCAAATGGATCCAAGTGTTTCAAATTTGCAGCAACATTGACCCTGTTTGTTCTGTTTCAGGTTGAGGAAATTTGTTTACCGATCGGAACTTTCAATTTCTTTCATTTTCCTGCAGTTTCCGGGATTTCATGGACCGTAAATCCAAATTGCACCCCTATGATCTAAACACGTCAGCAGCAGAGGGTCTGGCGAGAAGGATTTTGATACAAAATTAAAATTCGAATATTTAAACCATATAGCCGGGCGGCTATACACTTTAAATATAATAAATTGGAATATTTAAATAATATAGCCGGACGGAGTTACTAGTTAAATATAATAAATTCGGTTATTCATATAGTACAGCCCCTGGCGATATGGTTTAAATATAATATATTTGAATATTTAAACAGTATAGTCGCGCAGCTATACGCTTTAATGTTTTGTTGCTTGGACTCTTCATTTTTCTTTTCTCTTGCATCCATCACCATCATAGGGCTCTCAATCACATCAGGCTTCACCTGAACGATCACAGTGGTGTGTTTGGAAGATTTCGTTGAAGATACAGGGTACCGTCACTTAACGAGAACATGGGCTGTCGTATTGTTGATCTGCCCACCTCAACAATTAAGATGGATGCAGAGGATAGTGATCTTCGACTTTGCTTCAGAATAACATCCCCATTGAAAACTTACACATTGCAGGTAATTAGTTGATTGGTTGTTGGTTATTTCATTATTGTAGAACTAAGAATTGTATGCATGGCTTAACTCATCTCAACTGCCAAGATAACCATAATACCAACTACTTGAGGTAAGCAGCTGCCAATAATTTGAAGGCACAAGACCATTTTCAGTACTCCTATTTTGCTGTTATCATTTCATCAGGCCACCAAGAGACAGTTCTGGAAACACAACGGTCGAAAAGAGATAACTCTGCTAAGAAAAACACGAGAAAAAGCTACAAGGCTCGGGACAAACATTTCGAGAGACTTTAGAGAGAGAGGCTCCACCTTCTCTCTAGAATCTCTCTCCTTCCCATCTTCTTCTTCTGAGCTTCTGGCTGTGCCGCCACCCTTCGGGGTGGCTTCTCTGCCACCTCTCGTGTGGCCTCTCCGCCACCCTCCGGTGTGGCCTTTACCTTTCTTTGCTTTTGTTTAGTTTGGTGTGTTTTTTCTCCTTTGTTTTTCTTGATGTTGGCCCAGATCTCCTCAATCTCTCCTCTCCCACTCCTATACAGCCATTGCACCTCTCTCTCCCTGTTCTCCTCTCATCCACCCACCCCCCTTCAGCCCACTTCTCTTCCTCTTCCATGAACTCTTTAACCCTAAACCACTTCCCTTTTCCTAGGTTCTGCTTGGTTGTCTTCTGGTTTGTTGTTGCTGTTCATCTCCTACACTCCATCCTCAAATCAGAGCCTTTGCTCTGGAGGCGTTGGCTCTGTAGTTTAATGGTCAATTTTGACCAATCCACAGATCGCTTGAGCTTGATGCACGGTGGTGGCTCGCTTCCCCGAATCCACGCTCTTCAGATCTCCTTTGTCGGTTCTCATGGACCTTCCTCCACTGGCAGCGACGGCAGATCGGGTGGCAGCAGTGGCGGCTGCTTAGTTCTTGGGTGTGATTTTAGGGTTGTGTATGTCTTAGGGTTTTTTGTTGTGTTGAGCCTCAAGTCTGTGTATTTTGGTTGGGCTTTTATTTTGTTTGTTTGTGCTTTTGTTTTTTTTTTCTGTTTGTTGTATTGGGCCTGTTTGTAATTTGCTAAGTTAATGGAATTTCTTTTCCTTCGACCAAAAAAAAAAAAAAAAAAAAAAAAAGCTACAAGGCTCAAGTATAGCTCTTGGAAATAATAAGTTGACATGTGATAGCACGCCAACAAGCATGCTCTGCCAAAGCACACATCGTTTTTTTTCTGAATCCTAAAAGTTAAGATGAAGCAGATGAGATGTCACTACAACTAGAATGTGCACTAATGATAAATTGGAATGTTATTGCTCCAACGCATACTCATACCATCATCAAATATGTACTTAAAACTGGTACTTACTTGGTCATTAGCCCCTTTCTATGGAGAGAAACTTGTGGTGCAAGAGTTCCTCCAAGGTGGCTTTCTATACTGGAACAGGAAGAATATCTTGATAATGGAACATTTTGATGAACGGGGCCGTGTTTTTTTTAATTCGTGCAATTCATGTAAGTAAACAGGAGAGTATCTTTTAAAAGAAGATAATTGGCAACGTAGTGAAATCTTAAAAAATATCAAGTGAAAACAGGAGGATGATTTAGACTTAAAGATAATTAGCAACATAATGAAATCTTAGCAAACAAGTTAGTATCTTTCATTGCTTGCATCCTTGCATTTTTTTCATTTCATCTGAATCAATAGCTACATAATTATCCGGGACAACATTCTTCTGACAGGCCACATTTTCCATTCTGTTTTGGTCAAACTGAAAATGATGCAGATAGGATGGATTGGATAAACAGAATAACAGGAGCTATTCAATCTCTTTTGAATTCTCAACTTCTTGAACAGGTCCCTCCCTCGAAAGCTTTGTGACAAAGTTTCGTTGTATCTTATGCATGCCGCCACATCCTAAAAACATGATTCTCAAGACTAGTATAAAATTCACTTATGGTGTTCGTCCACTAAATAGCAATGAAAGTAGAGAAGATGTACTTGAGAGTATTTGTCATACATTGAAATGTTAAGGGATCTAGCCTGGGTTTATAAGGAGTTGGGCTACTCCCCCATTACCAATTGGTTTTGGGGTGGAACCTCAACTTCCTTCATGGTATCATAGCAAGGCTTCAAGTGTTGGGCCCAATGGCCACACATGCTCTCACGTCACTCAATATGTGTTGTCCACGTGTTAGGCTTGAAAGTTCGTTACACGTGCAGGGACGTGTTGAGAGTATTTGTCCCACATTAAAATGTTAAGGGACCTAACCTGGGTTTATAAGGAATTGGGCTACTCCCCCTATCACCAAGAAGAATAACAAAAAAACTCAGACACAGACCCATTCGCTCTCCCCCTCCCCATGACAAGGGGAGGAAAAAAATCACCCCATGACAAGAGGAAGAAGAAAACTGGCGGAGAGAAGGAAAAGAAAGAAAAAAGAAAGAGAGAGAGGAGAGAGAAAGAAAAAAAAAAGAAAGAGAAAGAAGAGAGATATTGTTGGAATTTATGAGGTGTGATATGTGTTGATACCGTTGTTGGTTTGTGTGTGAAGGGGTTTAGAACAATACGGCAGTAGTTGAATAAAGTGATTTTATTACACTAGAGGAGAATAGTATAGAGATATAAACCTTCTTCATAGCTTATTGACTTATTAGTCATCACACTTAATTTAGATTAATTGCCCTCAACATACTTTAATTTGGGTAGCTTCCCCTCTAGGTTAGAACTTAGGAGTTGGCTTGTTTACTCCCCCACATCAATGACTTAGTTTGGGTCGGGTAGCTTGTAGCTCCCACATAGGTCGGGTTGGTACTTGGTAGCTTATTAGTTCACTCCACATCTAGTTTGGGAGTTATTTTCTTTTTTGTTGACTCCACCTTTCATTGTAGGTTGCATGCCTATTAGATGACTGTTTGCCGACTCAGCCTCAGTCCACCGACTTGGGCACTTTCTCCCAACAACATGTTTGTAGTCATCCTCTGGAGATTTCTTCCACAGCCATACTTTAGCTATTCACTTGTCACTTTTTCTATAATATTTTACCATATTCATTTTGCTTCGCAGACAGAATCACATAAGTCAAATCATATATTTTAGAGATATTTATTGATATATTCATTCTTAGCACTAATATTATAAATAAATTTTACACCATTGAATTGCTATAAACAAACTTAAAAAAAACCAAAGAATGACAGCTGACCTTATTGAATTTAATATTGATTATTAAATTATTTTGATGCCTTATTGAGTGTTTTGGGTATTTTTAAGAGATTTTGGGGTTGAGTTTATTTTAAGAAATTGATAGCAGTTTTGTAATATATAAAAAGTTAAAAGCCTATTTGTTGTGATGTAAATAGACTTTGGGCATGTTTTTAAAGTCCATTTCATATAGAGTATTTTTATAATTTGGGCCCCTATATTTGATATAATAATGAATCTTTCAATATTTTATTCAAGTCTAATATAATAAGTGTTTAATAACACCAACAACCATAAACCCTCTCTCACTTCACTCTTGAGAACAAGTGGGCCTGCAATGGATTCTTCATGACCACAGTGAACAATGGCTTCTCTGAAAGGTCAACGTCATCTCCATCCACGGCTCTCCACTCAAATTTCCAAACTAAATTTGCCACGAAATACTGGAGATGAAGCATTGCCAAACCCAAAAAAACTAAAATTCAATACATCCATTTGACTATGAATTACGAATTATCCAATCTTATAGCATGCACCACACGTGTAGATAGTTCCGTAGAAATCAAGTCAACATCAATATGCGTCAGCAATTAAATCACTTAATATTTTCCTGCTCTCAACGCTTCTTATATAGTCCTTGACTTTATTGTTAGGCTGTCATTTCATTTCATTTGTGTTTTGTCTCATTACTCGCTTGTCAGTTTCTCACCATGGAAACCTGGTTCCTTATCCTCGCCGCACTCTGCATCTCTTTTCTCGTCAAACCCCTTCTCAGTCTCTTCATCCCCTCCATTTCCAAACCCACCGATCAACCCAAACTCCCTCCTGGGCCCACCCCCATCCCGGTCATCGGCCGATTCTTATGGCTCCGAAGATCCTTCTCCGAATTCGGGCCCATTCTCCGAAACCTTAGGGCCCAATACGGGCCCATCATCACTATCCACATCGGCTCCCGCCCTGCCGTCTTCATTGCCAACCGTTCCCTCGCCCACCAGGCCCTCATCCAGAACGGCGCTGTCTTCGCAGACCGCCCGCCCGCCTTACCCACCAACAAGATCGTCCGCAGTAACCAAC